GATATTGACACGACAGATCTCCGTATCTTACATGCCACTTCGCGACGTCTGTTGGTACGGTGGGCGCATCCGGGTTGTAAACTTCTTTTCTTAGTAGTGCATGCTCCTTCGGATGATGATGAGGACGTCCTTCAGGCGTTTTGGGATGCCACGACTGCAGCAATCCCAGCTGCCTATCGTCAATGGCCCACGGTTATGCTGACAGATGCAAATAGCCGAGTTGGCAGTGTCACATCCCCTTGCATTGGCCCGCATCAAGCTGATGATGAGAACAGTAAAGGTGCTCACTTTCACACGTGGCTTGCCAACCATGACCTTTTTCTGCCTCAGACCTTTGCAGAGTGCCATGATGGAACTGGTCACACTTGGACACATCCCAAAGGCACATCAGCTCGTTTGGACTATGTTGCTGTTTCCAACAACTTCTCCCACGATTGCGTGTCCACATGGGTCAGCACACGTATTGATTTGGCTCTTCATCGCCGTGGTCATGATTGTGTTTGTGCTGAGCTTCAGCTTCAGTTCTTTCCAGCTGACCGAAGACCTCGTCGTACCCGTGGAAGCAAAGTGCAGGATACCCACTTGGATGTGACATGGGTGACTGATGTCCATACGCACGCTGCACGATTGCAACACTGGATCAAACAGTGGAACCCGAAGCCAAGAATTTGGCGCAAGCGTCATCTTTCTGATGATACCAAGCAGTTGATTGATGCAAAGAGACACCATTGGAAATGTCTCAATGCTGCACGACGTCACCATTGTCGTGGTCTGCTTCGACAGCTCTTTGCTGCATGGCGTCAGCCTCATCAGGTAACCTGGTCTTTTCAAGGATGGATGCGTGACTGTGACCGTGCTTACGCATGGCATCTTTGGGCATACGAAGATTTGGCACCAAGAGTAGTGCAGGCCGTCCGCAATGATGACTGCATGTTTTACGAAAGCCTGGCGGCTCAAGCGGGCTATGAGTCCTCCAAGAATGCACAGTCACTCTGGAAGACCTTGCAGCCTCTCCTTCCAAGGTGGCGAAGTAAGCGAAAATCCAATCTTAGATGTACCGGCCCGTCTTTGGAAGACCAGTTTGCACATTACGATGCGCTGGAAGCTGGACATCACGTGCCGTATGGCGAACTTCTTCAACAATGCCATGCTGCCCAAAAGCAGGCTTCGGAAGATATTCCTTTGCAAATTTGTTTGGAAGCTTTGCCCTCCCGCTTTGCTGTGGAAGCGTTGGGCTGCCGTATCAAGACAGGCAAGGCATCAGGCATGGACTTAGTTTCGCCAGTGGCATTGCAGCATGCGTGCTGCCAACACTCTGACATTCTGCACACCTTCATGATGAAGGTCTGGATATTGGGCGCAGAACCTATTCAGGGGAAGGGAGGCATCCTCCACCCGATTGCAAAAAAAGAAGTGAGTCAGAAAATCGAAGGCATGAGAGGTATCATGTTGATTGACGGCATTGGAAAGTTGGTCCACTCACACCTGCGTGGACAATTTCTGCCGGCCTTAGAGCATTTCCGGCTCCCGCTTCAATTGGGCGGCTTCATGCGGAGTTCCACGTTGTTTGCCACTATGTATGTTCGTGCCTTTACTCAACTTGCGGCACAGCACGTGGTCTCCTCTGCCATCATCTTTGTGGACATTCGAAGTGCCTTTCACTCCATGGTCCGGCAGCTGATATTTGGTGGCGCTGACACCCTGCATCCCAAGCTTCGACAAGTCTTGACTGACAATGGCATTGACTTGACCGTGCTGGGTACCAAATTGGCAAAGGAGCCTCCAATTGACTCGGCCCCGCTTTCCCAGCCAACGGCGAGACTCATTCGTGATGGGCATCGCTTTACCTGGTATGCGCTTGGTGCTTCTGATGCCATTCATCAAACAGAACGTGGAAGCAGGCCTGGCAGCCCCTTAGCTGATGTTGCCTTCAACAGCCTTATGGCAGTTGTCTTGCAAGACTTTCAGACTCAACTGGATCAGTTCTTGCCGCTTCAAGCTGCGTTTTCGCATTTGGGACTTCGGGCAGCTCCGGTTGCTTGGGTGGACGATCTTGCGGTGCCGGTAGCGGCCATCAAGGCCACTGATCTGGTCTCGACAGTTGCTTGGACTTTACAAACCACGATTGAGGTTTGCGCATCATATGGCCTGACTCTCAATTTGAAGCCACGCAAGACGGAAGTTGTGATGGCCTTTCGTGGTCCTGATGCGCCTGCCTGTCGTCGTGACTGTCTGGTCGTCAACTTTGCTCGCATTTCTGTTCCTCCTTCGGGACAACATGTTCGTTGCGTGCCAGTGTATGAGCATCTTGGCACCTGTTTTCAAGCAGATGGAAGCATTGATGCTGAGATCAGATCCCGTGTGAGCAGAGCTGGCTTGGCGTATCGACAGATCCACAAGTTGATCCTGCGGAACAGATACATTGGTGTTGCAGTTCGTCTTCGTCTTCTTGACGCACTTCTCATGCCTGTGCTTCTGCACGGAGCTGGGAATTGGCCACTGCTTACCGCCCAGCAGATACAACGGCTCCATACCCCATATCTGAAATGGATCCGTACAGTTGTGGGCAATGGCTTCTGGGCGCACAATCAAATGTCGGATGTTCATCTCTTGTTGAGTTGGCAGATGCCATCGATTGAATTACGACTGGCAAAGCACCGTCTTCTTTTTGCATTCCATCTCTTCATTGATGCTCCAACTCAGATTATTGAAATGGTGACAGCTCCTGATGAGGCATCATGTTCTTGGTGGAAGGCACTGCGACAAGCCCTTACATGGCTCATCTCTATGGATGGCACGCTCATTGAGTTTGATCCTCTGACGGCCTCTCGACCAACACTACTTCAATGGTTTGCTGATCGACGGGAAGATGGCCCTCGATTTGTACGCCGCCTATACAAGAGAGCATTGATGCAGAACAAGGTCATCGGCGACACAGTGACGGCACACCAGACTTTGTATCATCAGTTGGTGACAGGAGGGGTTACTTTTGCTTTTGATACTCCTGCATCGGCTGTGACCACATCCAACTTTGAATGCCGATGGTGCGCAAAGACCTTCCTCTCGGTCCGACAATGGCAGAATCACCTTTGGAGTGCACATGGTGAGCCCAGCGAGGAACGGAAATTCATGACATCAACAGTCTGCCCGGCCTGTTGGACATGCTGTTGGACGGTGAATCGACTGCAGATCCATCTTCATCAGAGTCGACGACATCGAAATGGATGTTATGAAAGGCTGACCTGGCTATATGAACCTCTGGAAGTTCCTGCACCTATTGTTGAAACCAAACAGGATGACAGGCACTTGCGCCTGCCAGCCACCGTTGTTCCTCATGTGCTCTCGCAGACTGAGACTCAATGTGAGACTCGATTGGATGCGGATGCACGATGGGTGCAGGCATGCCACAATGAAGGTTTGACTGACCCGATCGATGAAGCTTGGGTTAACAACTGCAAGATGGCCTTTGACGCAGTTCTTCGAGATCAATCCATGCAGACAGTTGTTGATCCTGACCCCATCTTATGGCGTTTGACATGCTTGGCGGATGGTCACGGTCTTCCTCCTGCGACAGAGGGTCTCGGCGCGTGGGCTCTTGCCGTATGGATGCATGATGACCTTCATTTCTCCCGTTTTGCTCATTTGCCGGTAGAATTTTTTGGACGCTGCTTGGAGGCCATCAGGCAAATTGTTTCTCAGTCACCCGTTGGAAAGCTGGTTTGCTGGCGACGGCACATGGATGGTGCCTTCTGCCCGCAGGACATTGTGGAGAAAGGCGCACAAGATCTGGCCACGGTGCGTGCACGGGAAATCATTTTGGATCCTATTCGCGATCAGCACTCTCTGCTTTGCTCTATCCTTCAACGTCCTCTACATGTACCTCTCTGCCGTGGAGTACCTGTATGTCGAGAAGGCGACCGGCGGGTCATTTGGATTTTCCACCTTTTCAGTGGGCGCAGAAGGGTGGGAGATTGTCATTGGTGGCTTGAGCACATCGGGCATCATTTGTGGCCGGGAGTCACCATTCGCATGGTTTCCCTTGATACTGCTGTCCATCCGGATCTTGGTAACCTTGCCAATGGAGAGAACTATGACCACGTGCGGCGTCTTGCACAAGGTGGTCATCTTGCAGGAGTGCTTGCTGGCCCACCGTGTGAAACCTGGTCGGCAGCTCGGCACATCCTGCTGGATGATGGGGCTGGTCCTAGGCCGTTGAGATCGGCCGCTCGCCCATGGAGCCTGCCAGAATGCACAGGGCAGGAATTGAAGCAGAGCTCTATGGGCACACAACTGTTGATGAACACTTGGACCATTGAAGTGGCGACAGTCACCAATGGAGGCGGCGCTATCATGGAGCACCCCTGGGAACATCAACAGCAGCAAGATCAACAAGCTGAGCGGGCCTCTGTATGGCGCACACAGGCGCATCAGCAGTGGCTTATGGCCCTTCCGGATGCGATCCGGCACTATGTGGAGCAGTATGAGTACGGAGCTGCCGGGGTTAAGCCCACCTGTCTGCGAGCACTGAACTTGGGTGCTGCACCGGTGGTGGCTGCTGCGCTACGTGAGGGAGCTGAGACGTGGCGCACTCGCCCTACGGCCGTGCTTGCTGGGCGTAATGAGCGTGGCCTTTTTCGGACAGCTGCTGCCAAGGAATACCCCAGCACGCTGTGCCGCAGTATGGTAGTGGCACTCATCCGAGGGCTTAAAGCCCGAGCCCACAAAGAAGGGTGGCGTGAACCCGCTGCCTGCACAGCCAAGGACAAAGCTTGGCTCGCTGATGCATGGAGTGCGTCAGCAAAGGTCACGCGATGGTCGTTCCTGCCAGACTATCAAGGGGCCTGATTTGAATTCAATCCAGCGAGACCGCACGAGGATTCCTCACGCCGGCAGAATGGAAAAAAAAAACTTCCAAATTAAATCTTCGTGACAGAAAAATGGGTGCTATGATGGTGCAATCCTTTGAATCTCCGGTCAGCTTCGAAACCTGAGGCCATGACTTTGGCAACAGCCGGTTCTCCATCTCACCGATGGTCATGGACATCTCCTATGGGGTCTGACATCATCCCTGCAAAGCCACCATCTCTTCCCTAAAGTTGGGATGTGTTAAAGATTTAGAAATTTAGCAGTAAACTAAAGCTCCAACCAGCTCTTTTTGATAACCGCGCAAGATCATCCAAAGTGAGTCATGGAAGTTGAGTCAACATACTTGTCAATTGAAAACACACGTGTATGTGTGTATATATATATAATAATAATAATTATTATTATATATTATAAATTATACATAAAACTATGCATATGAACACTCGCTGAGCTGCCTGGTTGATGGTTAGTGGATCATCTGAGTCACACGGATTATACTTGACTGGCTCATAACCAGGCACCAGTTTACCGGGGATCCTTTCAGAATCAGTGGAAACTCATTTGGCCACAAGAAACTACTATGATCTGGTTGGATCTTGCGGGATAAGCTTGTGTGGGCATGCCACGTGCATTTCCGAAACTACAACAAGGTGCTTCGCTTGTCTCCATATGCGGTACTTGGGCTGCACATTTATCTGCTTATCGATTCATCCATCTCTTCATCTATCCATCCAAGCCATCTATCTAACTACTGATATATTATATACTGTACATATTATTTTTTATCATATTAATATTGCACTATATATACATACCATTTTTTGCACACTAATACCAGCATCACCTGCTTTTGTCTTTGCTGTCCTGTGATCTGGTGCTTCCAGCACTCTGAGGAGCTGAGTCCCTGGGCGTCATCTCCCTGGCGTTGCTGCACGCTTCAGGATGGCTTGTGGGGCCAACAATAATAAACATATATGTATATATATGTATATATATATATTGTGCATGAATGAAGGCATAACAACGTACTGACTCAATATGTTATATGTGTAATTACGTGTAATGATGTAAATTCATATCTCTACATGTTCGCTATTCAGAGAAGGTGCCTGTAATTTGTGGCAACTCTTTCACTCCGTCTGAACGTATCTGCCTCACCAAACGTTCACCACCCCCCCGCAAGGTGGATGAAGCCATGGTGCGCGACCGGGGCGCTGGCTTGGTCACTGACGGCAGGCAGTGAGGCAAAGCTGGGCATCCAAAGGATGATCATTTATTACATATATATATAATATATATATATATATAATATATGGCAAATAGATTACAATCATTTACAACCAATAGATTACAATAGAATACAATCAATTAATACAATAGATGGGCATCTGATCAGATCACCAAGCAAACTGTGGACCACCTGGACCTCGCACAAACGAGTCGCAACATTGGCAACATTGCACCGCAAGAAAATGCAAAGAATGAAAAATAATCAGAATATATATATAATTATATAATGAATATAAATGGCACAGCCCCAGAGTTGTTAAAAAATCCGCTTCTTGCACACGGGGACTGTTCTATCCATGGGTTTCCCGATCGGCACGAACTTGCCGGGACATGTTTGAGATCTTAGAGTCGATTTCAAGATGACTTTGAACATCGTTGCCATTCTAGAGCTCTGTCATTAAAAGCCATAGATACGATAGGATCCAATACCTGGAGCAGTGATGAGCAGTGGTGCTGTTAACATATGCCAAAAAATGGAATAATTTCGTGTAAACATCTCTGCCAAGTCAGTATCCCAAGGCGCGACCTTCGCCCTATTTTCATTTGCAAAGACATGCTCGCCCGCCCTGCCCTCGTTGCAGTGGTTTCGCGCGCGCTTTAAATACGACCCGATTTCGCTGCATTGGACCACAACGTGAAGCTGAAACAAGATCATAGTGATGGTGTCTGAAAACAAAAATGGCACGAGAAGTGTTGAATAGCAGTCTTCACAACAAGTCTTTATACACACATTTAAAAACTAAGAAAGCAAAGCGATTCAAAGGACCAATTCAAGTCTGCACATAATTGCCACCTGTAACTTCAACATAGCTGTGAATTTCAAGCAGCAACTGAATCTGAGAGGGGCCGTAAATAAGTGCTGCAGTACCTAGATGAGACTAAACGTGCCGCAACATCAGAGCATATCTTGCCATCCCATGAGTCAAGAAAATGCTGTCAGAACATCAAATCACCAGTGATTTGAACGGTACGTGGCTACCCCGCTCGGATTGTCAATACTTAGCCTGAACGGTACAGCCTCTCAAACGAGGTCTCCCCATAGTTGTCAGGGTGCAGAAAACTCCAAAGGTGCCGACAAAGACTTGCAGCACGACTGTGGGGTACTTCAATGAGACGACAGCAAGGCTAGGCCAGGCTCCTGGGCTCCTGGGCTCCTGGGTTATCCCGAATGGAATATTCATGCAGGTGGGGCTATTTAGTTTCGAGGCTGTTCTAAAACTATTCAAAGAATGTTTTCAAACATACGTATATTTTGGAGTACAGTAATTTAATTGTAATTTATCATCCAAAAGAATCCAACAGATTCCAAACCATCATCCTATGGCTTCGATGCTTCCAACTCACATCTTCCTTGAAGCGATCCGGGTCACATATGCCCCCCATCACCGCAACACGCTTCGCGGCGGGGCGAGAGAGTGGCGCACGCTTCGCGGCTACCCAGAATGAGGACATCATTCAGCACATCACTCGAAGCACAGGGGGTTCAAAGTAGTTGGTGGTTGAGCCCCCAAAAATGACCTGAATACATCTTAGTAAATACATCTTATTTACCCTGTCTGAGTATGCCTAATTGGTGGACCGTTGATTGAAATTGTCCCCGACTTGGTGTGCAGAACACGTACCATATTCTATCCTGTGAATCTGAATTGGTCCATCGATCCATCATCAATGAAACGCATCACTTGGGAAACATGTGGCAAGTCTTGCCGCTGCACAACGGCCACTGCCCAAAGACAGTGTCGCGCGCATGGCTACTCCACACATCGTGGTACAGATTCGCACCAGGCACAACCAGTGGGATCCAGCTTTTCTGCTTAGAGTTGAAACACCCAGCTGGGGTATGGTGGATCTAGCTGTCTTGGGGGTCACGTAAATCGGTGGCCTGTGCATGGGGAACCAAGGCAAGTCCATCTACCGGTACCAAAAAAACAGCTAACCTCAGTCAAACTGTACGAATCAAATGTGGGTGCTTTTAATGGTGTTGGGCATAATTTCGCAGTTCTACTGTAACAATAGTGCTAAGGAAATTCACATCACACTTGGCCAAGGACTTGTTCCCTGAGCCCATTGGTTCTGCTGTCTGCGCCACTCACCCAGTGTTCTTCTTCTGAAACATATCCTGCCCCCACAGTCCGTGCACATTCATCAGAAACACAATAAAAGAGAAGCAAACGATGTGCAAACATGGAATTTTGCAACTAAAGCACCCGAAAGAACCCCCCAAAAAGGATGTGAAATTGCCGAATTCCACGTGCCCTACCAAATCATACACGTGAAAAAGGATGAACAAAACGATAGCCATCGACAGCCCTTCCAGCGCACTAGGAGTTCTCCAAAGGGAGCAGCTTCTGCTTCCTTTGGCCTGGGAGGAACAACGGAAAGCTTCAACAGGTGATCCTACCTGAAATACCTAATATGATCTAACATGCATATCATGCATACACCTCAAAATTGCCCATGGAATGCCTGGAACGAACACAGTGTATTGGTTTAAGGCTGCTCAAAGGCATAAGACTGTGCGGAAGTTGCCGTGACAAAGCCAGAAGGCTGCACAACAACTGAGCACGCAACGCCATATCAAAGGAGGATATACCTGGCGAGCACTTGCTGCAAGCCCAGCTGTTCAAGCGCATCCGTTCCTTTTTGACGAGGTCCCGTCCCAGCGAGATGCCAGGAGAATCATCTGGGACGATTGCAACAACATGCAACAAATCCAGCGAATTGTAGGGTTGACTAGGGTTGAACAAAAAAATAGCAACGAAGAGCAGCTTAGCAGCAACCAAATTACCAGCAACTTCAAAACTAAAGTTCTGAACAACACTTCATACAGCAAAGAAGGGCCAATCAAAACACAACTGCATCAACTTGATCAAGCCCAGCATTTAAACATGTGCCGCCACATGCCACCACATGCCACCACACTCCATGTTCCAGGCCACTACACCCCTATACCCGTGTATGCCCCGGCTGGGTCTGCCCGACGATTGGTCACGGGTGCCGGGCGATAACCGCCAGACGGCCACCCGCTGGCAGGGGTTGGACCTCAGGCCAGCTTGATGCAGCGGCAGCCAATCTGACAATTGGCAGCTTCCTTGGTGTTCCCTGGCATCCACAAGTCATGCAGCATCTTAGTCCTGGACCCGGTGCCGCCTAAGGTGAGATTCTGAGATTGGGAACCTCATAGGACTCCGCTACTGTGCCCGGTTAATGTTGAAACAACACTTGCCGAAGGTATGCTATGCTGAACAAGGATGAGGGATGAGCAAATGATGTCAACATACAGGGATATCATAAATAAACTGTGTTTCCATTGGTGGCAGAACAGAATATTGAAATCTTGGTCTTGGTTTTGGGCCGTTCCTTTGAAAGGACGCGAGCCCCCTAGGTCCTGTACATACCTGATGCACCTGTTTGATCCTATTGGTATCAAATTGGATTCAAAGGGTACCTGGACAGGACTGGTACCTCGCTATTGTGCAAGTTGGTGCAGGATGGACTGCCAGCCCAAAAATAGAACGAATAAGTTGAAATCAAGAACCTGTTGAAAGGAAGTTCCAGCATGGAATAATATACTGACAAAACTTAGTAAATCTCCATGACCCACCGCTCACATCCTGCCTTTCCAGTCTTGTGATTTAAAACGAGGATCTGCAGGAACAAAGCAGGCATGGGTCATTTGTGGCTGACCATCGCCATCCATATCATTTGTCTTTGGGCATCCCAGGCTACACCTTATGCACCCACGGTATACATTTCCCAACATGGTATGAGATTCCAATATGCATAAATGCAGTATGTATATATACACACACTCATATATATACATATATATATATACACATGTATGTCATGCATGTTGGGCCCATTATTGGTTTGATCGCGCATAATTCATGGCTATATACTATATACTTTGGCATGTCTTGGCTATATACTTTGCTCGTAACAAATGTCATATATCCAGCCGAGCTGCAGGAGCTGGAGCTCTGGCCTGCGTTCATCTCTGTGGCGCTGTCTTTTTTGGGGAACTGTCGGAAGTGTCATGTCGATTCAGCAGAATTTCATAAGGATTCAGCAGTGGATCCTCCAGCTGAAGGGTGGAATCATTGGATCTGAAGCTTGGTCTATTGAATCTATTGGTGCAACTAGAGTAACTAGAGCCTTGAGATCTTCCCAGACCATCCCAGACCAAAACTGACATGTGTAAAATGTTCAAAGGACGATTGGATGCATACCAGCCAATCGCCAATGAATCATTGACGGTCATCGTTGGCACATGTTTTTCCTTTCTTTGATATAAATACGGCGATGCAGGCTATGTAGTATATAGATGCATATGCCTACTAGAATATCCAGCTCCTTTCCATCTGGCTCCAAGATGCTCCAAGTATACAAATGCCCCCAGTATTGTGCGGTAAGCCCCCAGTATTTTCAATCCATCCTTTGGGTGGTAACAAGTCCGTACTGTTGCCCGCGCCTGCAAGGCACTGGAGATCATCGCCTGCAGCTGAACCAGCTCCTGGCGGCCAAGTGACACCGATTGGGGGGTTCAACCCATCCAAGACATCTTAATCGTGCAAGTCATCATCCGAAAATATCCCAAATATGGATGAAAATACCTTTGAATCAAATCCAAATTGTCAGCCTGAGGAGTCGAGTACCAAACTTGAAAAATCGGAATCAACCTTGACATCGCCTATTTAACTTGGATGATTTGGGGGTTCCCTACGGGGTTCCCCCCAGTGACAGCCACGGCAGCTCCTGAGGCGACATCCGCTCCAGTTGGTGCGGGGTCAAATTGTTGGCCTTGGCCCGGGATCTGTGGCTCATGCTGCTCCTGAAAGATGATTGAAAGAGCCAGGTATCTCTTCTCATCATAATGAAGCACTAGACTCACTAGGAATATCTAATGAAAATAACATCTTGCAATATGTAAGAATGCTGGATCTTCTATAATGGCACATTTTACGTTTGCTATACAAGGAAATAGGCAATCCCCAGCCCTATGGTGCCCCGGCCGAGACTCCATTGGAATGCAGCTGCTGCACCAGCTCCGGTGTCAAGGCCGCGGGCGCGGGTGCCGGCGCTGCCTGAACGCATTTTGCACTAGAACCTGATGTATTCAGGAGCCTTTATATGGTTTCGCACACACATCATCATTATATATATATAATTATATACAATATGCAAATATGGTCTTATATAACTTATATATATATGGTGTTCTATGGTTCCTATGGTTTTACGATGTTTCATATGGTTTTGTGGTCAATAAATACGGGTCAGCAAACTTGTGCTAGATGCAAATGCAGGTAGGTGTATGTAGATGTCACAAAACAGGATGCATATCTACATATCATCACATACCCGTTTCTGCAACATGCTTTTCCAAAGTTGAGGACACCCAAAGGTCTTACACGGGGTCTATTCAGGACGGAGAAAACCTAGGTGAGTGTCAACTGACTCCGAACATTTGAAAAGGGAATTGAAACGCTCGCAAAGCATCTGGGCTCACTGGGCTCCACAACTCTTAAAACATCCTCAAATGTAGAAATGACATACTGTGTGAATTAATTACATATATATATATATTATATTATTTATGTGTGTGTACGTGCCATAGGTACAGCGTATTTGTTCTTGTAGGCAAAGCCACTTTGGGGAGATGGAGTGCATCCCACCTGGGCATAGCTGGGTTGGGAAGATGGAGCCGATGGTGCAGAAGCGCCGCCAATGAGATCTGGCATGGGGTGGCACCCAAAAACATTATGGGGGTAGAGAAAGAGATGGGATGGACTTCCTGATAGATCTGACATCTGCTCCAATTTGCTCACATAGACCGTGATAGTCAGTGTAGTTGTAATGAATTCTCTAGGCCCTTCATCGGTGTCGAAGGCTGCCGTGGTTCACACCTTCGGCCATGGAATCATCGCCGATGAAGAACATTTCAGGGCCTCGGAACACCAAGTGATATATGTCTTACACTCTGAAAATCAGTTGGGATCATCACCTCAACTCTTTTCAAATCCCTTCCCCCTACTAATCCCCCCCAAATAATGAAAACTAGGGTCCGTCTCCAATTTTGGAAAGTTTGAGGTTGGCCAATTTGATTTTTAATTGATCCCCTTCAGAAACTAATTTAGCAATGAAGCTACCATTTCAGGGTTTCACCCCCTAACCCCCTAATATCCCTAATAATAAAAACTAGTCAGCCCCCGGGATGTTTTTTATTAGGGTCCGTCTTTTAAGGTCGAAAAAAAAGTATTGTATAGTAAGTTCTTTTTTTATATTGGGGGAAAGCATCGAAATCCAATTTTTGGCAATATTTAGATTAGATTTTAAAAGGAAATCTAATCGATTTTGAAATAGATAAAACTAGTTTTTTATATTAGGGTTTTAAATTTAGTATTAGGGGGAAGCTTCGCACCCTAATAATAAATACAACCTAATAATAAAAACTACCTGAAGTGTTTATTATTTCGGGGGGGTTTAGTATTGGGGGGAAGGGATTATTCATAAATTGAGGTACACCACATTTCCGGACACACCCAACTATCATATTTTGTTGGTTATAACGGCTACATCCCATGAGATCATATCAAATCCCATTATAATCTATTACATATATGTATATATAGGCTATATATAGGTATATATCACCATAAAACAGTTGGTCTTATGGTACATACCGTACCCCAAAACCACCTGTGAATCCTCGTCATTCTCAGTTATCCATGATAATCTAAATATGGTTATGGCTAATAAAGCGGGTATGGATTGCTACGCGGTGATCCGGACGTATGGAACGAAGAAGTTACACAAATGATCTCGAATGAGTTAAATCTCTTCAAACGGGTATGGATCAGGGGTATGGAACGCCTGTGCATCCGTGGTATGGATCAGGACCTTAAATGAGCTGCAGCCATATGGGTACCCATGGATACCCCCAGTTTGGACATGTCTGGACACACAGCTGGCCGCCCGAACCGCTGGCTGCCCTTGACGGGCTCGAGGGACCGCCTGCGACCTCCTGATGAAGTCATGCTGATCATCATCCCAAATAGGGCATACCATGAACCCAACAATTGGGATGGAGCATGGCATTGGGTTTACAACATTTCAAGGAAGCATATCTTCTACCTTGAATGAATGTGTGAACATTGAGGTGATTGTCTATCTCAAGAACGAGGAATCGTGACATCACTAAAAAATTGGCGGGTGTTTGCACTGAAAAGTTGGAATACCCTGAGCCGACTAAAGTCACTCTGAGGATGACCACTTGCGCACTATACGTATATATATATAGGTATATATATATGGGTTTCCAGTTTCAGATTATTCGGATTCTTCAGTTCTTCATCATCTCTCGCTAGTAGCTTGAGGCGGAAACTTACAACACGTGGAAAGTGCTTTCATAATCTTTGCTACATCTATGATCTTTTAATTTTTTTAAATGTTCCTCTACGGCTGCAAGATCCTGCCACGAATTTGCTCGCATGACTAGGGCAGGACAAGGGCCCACCCAAATCACTGAGTTGCCATCAGAAAGAAGCATGTACTGTATGTGCGGTCTGATTCACCATCCCCATGACAATCAAAGGTGAAGATCAATCCCAATCCAATCCCCTTTTAGCATCTTTGAACATCTTTGAACCCCATGGTTGGGGGTGGTACATGTGGGTCTTCCCACACTGTCTGCGCCGTCCTGTACTGCAGGTTCTAGCCTCCCAAAACATCTGCAACACGGGCTGGTGACGGCTGGGAAATCCTGTGGGAACCACACTATCCGGGCCACACTCAAAATGTAAACTTCTCTTGGCCCTTGTCAGATTTCAGGCATATATACGACCAATGAAAACAGCAACCATCTCTAGCCTCGTCATGGCGCTCACGTCTGCAGGCTGTGCAGGTGCTCCTAATCAAAGATTTGGATGTTGAAACATCACTAGGCCCTAGGCCATCCTGCCATTTTTCAGGGAATCTGGGTGATGCAATTTGGATGATGCAATCCAAAGAGTTCAAAGTCTCTCTCTCTCTCTCTCTCCATCGCTCTCTCCAAGAGTTCAGAGTACTTCAATGCAATTCAACGTAATTTCAACATATTTTAACAATTTACTTCCCTTCTTCGGATCTATTCTTGGCAAAGGGAGAAAAACGGTGAGGACATAACCGTCAGCCCGCCTGCTGGTTGAACCGCCTCCTCCAGCGCAGCTGTGCCCCCAAGCATTGAAACCAAAAACGCAACTATAACTAGAAATGACCTTCAGCAACCCCTGAAGCTTACCATGACAAATAATCAAAATATCAACCTAAACCCTGTTGCTGTAGATGCCGAATTGGGAGTACCCCTCAGCTTTCGTGCATCCCTTCCTCCAAAAGCATTGTGCTGGCATATTTCAAGTTCATTAAGATCTCTGTCTGGCACGGTACATTTGCATCGAGGTGCTCAAAAGAACTCGCAAGCACCCCAAAGTGTGAACTTCACACTTCTCAGCTCAATAGGTCCAAAAATGAATACACACATACATGATGCATGTAAATGTAAAACATATATTGTAATGAAAAACCATTTGGAATCCATAAATCGCCAAGCATTAGGATGCATCTTGCACATCATTGCACCACATAAAACTCCATCAAATGTGATGCACAGCCAATCCCCTCCTGGGGCTTCAGGAGATCATCAAAGGCCTTGGGGTCAGGAAGGCTTTGGGAATGTCATGGGATGTCAGGATATGGCATGATATAGCTTCAATTTGGGAATGTGGCTTGGTATGGTTTTTACAGTTTTTACATGTTTTTATGGTTTGGTTGATTTATGATCTGAAGTTCCTTAATGGATGCTTCAACTCTCCGTTCCGTTTTCTTGATCATTCTTAGATATCGTTCTTGGCCTTCGGGTTGTACGGGATGAACTTGTCAAGGATGTTTGATAATCAATGATGTCTTTCCTCTTGATTCCCCTGATGCAAAAACAGGTTCTGTAGTCAAGCCCTTGGAAAAGAGTGTAGCCTCCTGGACGTGACATGGATTTACAATCATATTGGCTAATAATATCTAACACTGAAATACACCGAATATATCCATACAATTTTCTCTGTTTAACACCTAGAATTCTATGAAAATTGCGTGGTTGTGTCGCTGTACGGAGCCCGAGAACCAGATGATGCCAAGCCACGGAAAATGCTGCGAGTCGCTTTTCATCCACCGCCTGAACTGCGAGACCGATCATTCCATGGCCATCAAATTTAAGGACCCCAACAGCATGGAAAGGATGAGAACCCCTTGGTTAAGGTTGGAATCCTCTACCCGTTCCTGCGCAAATAGCAAGTATCATGATGGGATCCATAGTTATCTTTTCCAAATGGACATGACTGAAGACCAGTTAGTGACAGTCAGTTAGTGTTTTGTGCCTGTAGTGATAGTTTGCCTTCATTCCCCAAAAAAATGGAGAACTCATCAGCTACTACTGATATAAAGTCAAACTCCCGTATTTTCTCATACTGAAGTTTGGAAACGTGATTATATAAACAAAACTTTCGTGATCTACTGACCCACTGACCCATCACTCACCCCAAAGGCTTACTGGCACCGCCTTCTTGGCTGGCAGCTTGGAACACTGCTGAAAGAGCCGCCTGAGGATGCCACAAAATCCAAAGAGTCCAAGTGAGGTTTCAACAGGGCATGCAGCACACAGCACTGGAAATTGTGGGGAAACCTGTGCATGAGATTTGGATCTGGGCCCAAACATCGGACTTGGAGATTTTGACATAGTTTAAACTCAAGCCGTGAAACCACTTAACATCAACGTGGCCACAATAAAACAATAAGCAATGCACGTGCATGCAAAAATATAAACACGATACACAGCAAGGACTTGCAACATTTCAAACCACCTTGGCCACAGGCTGAAACGCTGCTGAGATGCTTCAGATCATCTTGGCTTCCACTCAGCACTGCCTGGCGTAGCTTTTCGCCCATGGATGTGCTTGTGTCCTGCCAGGACTGGCGGCTGCGCTTGAGAAACACATCGGCGAGGCCACGAAACTGAAACTGTTGATTCAGTCTGTGTCCTTCAATGTCCTTCAGATCCGCCCCTAGAAGTTTCTTTGTTGACATCCAGTCCATGATTTGCTAGTGATTGAACCACATACATATCATACATACAGATCATCAGATCAGAAGCACCCACCACGCTTCCCCATCCCATAGCATCTCGATCCATCTCGTACCTCCTTCTTAATTTAGATATGTTTAGCCTGTTTAGCCTGTTTAGCAGTGTTTCATCATGTTGTATCATGCCATACGCCAAAAAGGTTGCCCGGTTGCCCCCCCCAGGCCCCACGCACGGTTCCATCCTCCTCGACATCTGTGGGTGCCGGCTCGGCGGCCTCGGATTTCCGAGCATGGGTCCATATTTTTCAAATAAATGGATGATGGATACATAGAATCATAGTGTGTCATAGCGCATACAAATTTTCCTTGTACATATTGCAGTATTAAAATTATAATGTATTATATCTTATCAAATTATATCAGTTTACTCCTGTATACTATGTCAAATCATATGGTATTCACGGTATTCACCCAACCTATATATTGCTTTCCAACAGTTGGATGACAATCATGTGCATCAGTCACACTCTAGGATGTTTGAACCATTCCTCCCCCCAACCACTACTTCTGGCGACGTAAGCCACGTGACCGCTTGCTGAATTTCGATAGCGTGGCTGCTTGGTGATTGGGACCCATCTAGCAAAAACTGGTATACAAAAGGAAATCCTGCTAAATGGGGATGGGAAAAAATCGTTTGAAACCATGTCCCAATCTAAGTTCAGTGCGTCCCGATGATACAATGCCAACCCTCAGGCGCCCTTTTGTTTCTTTATTTGAACCCATCAAACTACAGTAGATCACCGGTCAACCAATTCTATACTGTCAGTTGGCTGTACCCTTAATGTATCCTTATTTTGCTGGGGGGCCGAACAATCCCCCAAAGGTGAAGCCCCAGCAACAAACACTTCCCATTGGTTAACCGTTGACCATCAGCCACCGGATGGGCCCCCAGCTGGCTCTTCGACCGGCAGGGGCGTGTCGATGACCAGCAAATCCTGGCCAACAACAACTAAAACTAAAACCTATTGTAGTGGCAAGACCTATCGTCAAAAGAAGTTGTGCTAGAAAACTTCCGAGTTATGGACGATGGCCATGGTTTGCATTCTCACCATCATGTCAACAACATCATCATGTTAACTTCATCATCATGTCGACCGCATACGACCGCATCATAATGCTTACCCCGTCATCATGCATCGTCAACTAGAGTTCGGAAGCCTGTGAATTCACGGGTGAAAAGCCCTGCGTTTTTTCGGGTAATGTGGCTCGTGGGGTCGCCGAAGTAGTGTTTCGGTTTCCGCGGTCGCGCGCCTCCATCTGGGAAAGTTTCCGACAAAAAGTGCACAGGACAGTAGCGAGAGCTCGATTTCCATTTCAAAATGCCAAAAACTCGGAGCACTTTTGGAAGATCAGGTCAGCAAAATGTGACGCGACTGTAGCGAGAACTCGATTTCACCCAAAAAAACGTACAAAAATTGAAGCGGTCGATTTGGTGTGACGCTCCTGCTATGCTGGTTGGCAACCGGCTATGACAAAATGCTAGGCACGGCTGCGCGCAGCAAAGCGTGAGTGATGCTGCGTCGCAAGCGGGATTGCAGCTGGAGGTTGCTGAACGCATTGTAACAGCTGCGTGAAGAGGAGCAGAAGCCTCAAAAGAGATAGTGTAGCTGGGAAGCAGCTCAGAGCAGAAGTAGCCCGGATAAGTGGAGAGAAAAGGTGCCTCAGCGAAGAGGTCGCTCAGTGAAGAAGTAGCTCAACGAAGAAAATTAGCTCGCCCATCCATTCATTCATCCATCCCTTCGTTCATTGGTTTAGGGATTCATAGATTCACAGATTCATTGATTCATGGGTTCATTGGTCCGTTGATTCATTGCTTCACTGAATCATTGCTGCTTCATTGATTCAGTTACTCAGTACTTCATTCAAAAATTGATTCAGTGAGTCATCGGCTCACTAAATCATTCATGCATTGCTTCATTGACTCAATGTTTCACTGAATCATCGATTCATTGATCTGTTGGTTCACTGAATCATCGACCCATTGATTCATTGGTTCATTGATTCACTGATTGGTTGGTCCATTGACCCATTGATTCACTGATTCATTGGTTCATGGAATCAATGGTTCATTGGTTGGTTGAACCATTCAGTCATTGCTTCGTTATTTCACTAATTCATTGATTCACTGACTCTTTGGTTCATTGGTTCATCGATTCATTGGTTCATCGGCTCATTCACTCAGTCGTGCATGGATTCTTTCATCTTATTTCATTGGCATCTCAAGCACCATTTCCTCATTCGTTGATGCACCTCACAACTTCAACCACCCATGGCTTCTGCATCTCAAAAACTAACCTTCCTATAGGCCATTGATTTCTTGTAGTCATTTCCTATTTTCGAAACTTCCGCCCCGGCGTATGCCGGGCACCATCTGGTATCACCAACACACACACATACAACACACGAGTGATCTGTTTCCAAAATCCAGACAACATGAAAAGTCAACCTTGCAAGCAGGCCTGATTTAAAAAAACAGAGACAGGAATACCACCGTGTTTTATTTTCACATTGTACCAGGTTTCCTTCGAAACTTATGTCAAGAAACTTAAGGATGGATGTAAGTTGATGTAAGCTCCCGAACTGGAGGGATACAACACTATTATGACCGAGAAGGACAGGGACATATCACATATCCGACAAAAAGTGGGAATGTAAATCAGCAACATCCAACAACAACATTGAGAATTTAACAGCAGCATCGCCACCATGAAATTGGGATGTCAGCAAAAACCCAACAGTCCATAACAATGATGATTTCTCTGTTTTGCGTCTATGCTGAGCATTCCGCTACCCTCCTGCGCCGCACAGCGATTGGGAGGTTGCAGCGCCCCAGAAATCCCAGGCACCAAATGCATCTGAGCTCATCTCTTAAAAACATTTAAAAACATCAACCATATGCAAGAACATGTGCAGTATGCAAACAAATGCGTATATATATAATATATATAATATATATATAATATATATATATATATATATAATATACATATAATATATATATATATAATATATATATAATATATATTATATTATATATATATCTTAAATATATATGCACCCACCACGCCGAACATAACATCCATGGTCCTTGGTGCATGATCAATTTGATCAATAACAATTACACAAACCGTTAGGATACATAAAGATATCGAGGCTGGTGCTGCGAAGCACCTGATCAGCCGTGCGTGGCGGGGGTCAGGAGGTGTTCTCCTGAAGGGTTTCACAGGCTCTTGTTCCCAGGGCTCCACTTGACCATGGAAAGTGGTTCAACCGACCATAACCGACCTCCTCTGCAAAGGTGCCCCCGTGCGGTGTGCCAAACCATCATTTGTGAGCATCAGGGAAAATAGGAATTCAAATCTTTCACCAACAATCAATGGGAATAACCAACTACAGCCAATCCCTACTAATTTTAACTAATTTTCGACCTATCCTCAAATATGCCCAAACATTCAAACATCGAAGTTTTTGAAAGAACATGAAGCACCCTGCCATAGGGGCCTGCCTGGGCTGATAAACCGACAACTTGCCTGCATTAGTTTGCGGTCTTCTTGATTGAAATTGTGAATATTGAATCTGGATTCCATCCGTCTGTGCCTTGTTTCGGATTGGTATGTTCCCCTTTCAGCGCTCAAATGCGCCATCGAGCCTGTTGAACATCAAGGATCTATGCTTGTATACACATTGAAAATTTCATCACAGCAGTGCGGCAGTGGTACTGGTGAGGGGCTTGCCCTGGGCAAGATCACAACTCAATAAAGAACACTGGTTTCATGGCAAAGGAAAAAATGCAAAAACAACTTTGTTTGAACCCAAGGAGCCACAGAGATCTACAGCATTTCAAAGACAATACAATGAATATGTAGAATAAGCACAGCTAATATATATATATCATACATATATATCATCTAACGGTTACAGTACTGGTCATCACCAGAACCGCGGCTCACTTGCGCGACGCAACGCGTCGCGTCGCGATCCCCTCAATCGGCCACCAGGACAAAGTCGCATGCCTTAGGAGTAGAGGTCGACGTTTATAGGGCTTGGATTCACCAATAAAAAAAGGGGTAATGCCAAGCCAAAACGAATAAATCCTGGTTGATTGATTGGGGTGACCCCCAGTGATAATCTACTCGAATGTGATTTAATGTGACCTTCTACACTTAAACAGATGAGGAAATGATCAATCCAGGGTTGATTCCCCTGACTCACTATATTTATACTATTTTAATGACCCCCCTGCACAATGGGTAGAATACAAAAGGACCAGAGGCCCCTTCTGTTGGCTCATCTGACCCCTTCCGGAAACCTCACTCAGATGGAAAGTGGTTTCCAATCTTGCGTGGAAACAGTGAAAACTGGTTCAAACATTTTTCAGAACTATGAGGAACTGAAAGTGTATGGAATTGCTGTGATTTTCAGCAATTTGTTGCAACCTTTTGGTTTCACCCATCTGGCAGGTTCGATGACTTCCCCGGTGCCTCGTCCGAAGCAATTGGTCCCAGGCCACTCCTTGGGCTGCGTTCGGTCGGAAACATGAAGTGCTGCGGGTGTAGTTACTAATGCTACTGTAATTTGATGGTGTATTTTTTTAAAAATGTTTTTTTTGGTATTGTTAAATACTAAACAATACTTGGCAATAATAGAAAATGTCTTACATGATACAAAAACAAATTATATAAAAACAATTTTTCCATGACCTCTTTCAATCACACCTTGGCACAAGAAAAGACCTTCAAAGATCTTCAGGTTGCTTTTGGAATTGTGTGATGCATCCATTCGGTAAAAACCATGGGAAGTGATCATCCTCTTTCGGGGTCCTTGCCGATACAAACTTTGGTTCATCATGAAGGATGGGTCTCCCAAGTTACTGCACGAAATCGCTACATAAAAAAATGACGGCAAGAAATCATGACCTATCCAAGTTGACTAAACTAGATTTAGTAGCTGCTTTACCACACTGACTTTCTGGTAAAGCAAAATCCGCTGGTGTACTGCAGTTGGGATTCTGACCCCTGGCCCCAATTCTATTTTCCTTCAACCATCTTCACGCGGTTTCCGCGTCATGGCATTGTTTGCTCAATCGATCTCAAAGGCAACGGCTTCGCCGCGCGTGGTGAGAGGCGCAGGGGGAAATCCTCGTCTTCTGGTAGCTTCACAGCACAAGTCAAGTAGTAGACCTCGCTGCCTGGGCAAAAACAACAGCCTAGAAAGGAAATCAAGTTGCTATGATGGCCATCCTGGGCATAGTTCTGGTTCTTGGAAGAAGAGTAATGGTACAACCATACAGCATACATACTACTAATCATACTACAGTACATTGTTTGGATGTTGCTTCTGACGTGGGCGCCGTGGGCGCTATCGATCCAATGTGGTGTGTGAATTTTGAATTCGCACACCCTGCATCAGGTGCAAGCGACATCTAATTGTCAACCTTTCAAATGCCCCCAAAGATCCCAAAGGATAGTCTATATAGTCTCTAAAAAGGGATGACTCTTGATCAAATTGCCGACCAAAAGACCAACCTTTCTGGGTCATTGCGCTCAAAAAAGTCTTTTCTGCTTGCCAAACCCCCTCTTTGGCCACTCTCCTCCAAAGATCCCCGGTTCTGCTCAGCGACCTTCCTCAGCTTCGATGAAGTGGGCACCGTAGCAAGTTCCTTCACTTGTGACTTCCAACCAAAAGCGATCATTGTGACGCCAAACGCTCTTCACCTGGTGGATTTTCATGGGGCAAGATCAAGGGGATCCATGTGGTTTTACGATATTTTACGATGGTTATCACTCGCTATTACTCGCTCAATTCACCAGTACCATGGGGTACTGGATTGCTGGTAGTAACATGAAGTAAGCAACCCCCCTGGAATGAGTTCCATTTTGAAACATCCCTGAAAATCATGGTTCTAGGACATTGGCACGCTGCGCGGCATCAGGAAGTGTCTTCAGAGAGTGATCATGTTTGCCTCCCAAAATCGCAATTGTATGCATGTCTCATATTCCAATATATATGTATATATATATATATGTATATAAACATCTTTCTCACTTCTGCTTCTCCAAACGGCGTATCCTCATGCACCAGCTAGAATCAAAATGCCTGCAGCTTCCCTATTTGTCCCTGGCCCGGGCAGGGACCTGTCCCCTGGACGCTTCAGGGAATACGCTCTTAAGCTTGGCATTGGTCTCAATGGCTTCAAGGTGAGATGGGACCACAAACTCCTGTTTTTAAGGTGGTTTCATGCGGCATTTTTTTCTCGGAACCTCATGAAAAAGACAGACAAATGGCATCATGTCATATCATTTCCGTTTGGGATCATCATCCGGGTATGGATGTTCTGATTGGAGGCAGTACCTTACTTGAAAATTCTGGTCATGTGGGGAATATTGGGGGTCACCAAAATGACGGCAAGAAATCATGACCTATCCAAGTTGACTAAACTAGATTTAGTAGCTGCTTTACCACACTGACTTTCTGGTAAAGCAAAATCCGCTGGTGTACTGCAGTTGGGATTCTGACCCCTGGCCCCAATTCTATTTTCCTTCAACCATCTTCACGCGGTTTCCGCGTCATGGCATTGTTTGCTCAATCGATCTCAAAGGCAACGGCTTCGCCGCGCGTGGTGAGAGGCGCAGGGGGGAAATCCTCGTCTTCTGGTAGCTTCACAGCACAAGTCAAGTAGTAGACCTCGCTGCCTGGGCAAAAACAACAGCCTAGAAAGGAAATCAAGTTGCTATGATGGCCATCCTGGGCATAGTTCTGGTTCTTGGAAGAAGAGTAATGGTACAACCATACAGCATACATACTACTAATCATACTACAGTACATTGTTTGGATGTTGCTTCTGACGTGGGCGCCGTGGGCGCTATCGATCCAATGTGGTGTGTGAATTTTGAATTCGCACACCCTGCATCAGGTGCAAGCGACATCTAATTGTCAACCTTTCAAATGCCCCCAAAGATCCCAAAGGATAGTCTATATAGTCTCTAAAAAGGGATGACTCTTGATCAAATTGCCGACCAAAAGACCAACCTTTCTGGGTCATTGCGCTCAAAAAAGTCTTTTCTGCTTGCCAAACCCCCTCTTTGGCCACTCTCCTCCAAAGATCCCCGGTTCTGCTCAGCGACCTTCCTCAGCTTCGATGAAGTGGGCACCGTAGCAAGTTCCTTCACTTGTGACTTCCAACCAAAAGCGATCATTGTGACGCCAAACGCTCTTCACCTGGTGGATTTTCATGGGGCAAGATCAAGGGGATCCATGTGGTTTTACGATATTTTACGATGGTTATCACTCGCTATTACTCGCTCAATTCACCAGTACCATGGGGTACTGGATTGCTGGTAGTAACATGAAGTAAGCAACCCCCCTGGAATGAGTTCCATTTTGAAACATCCCTGAAAATCATGGTTCTAGGACATTGGCACGCTGCGCGGCATCAGGAAGTGTCTTCAGAGAGTGATCATGTTTGCCTCCCAAAATCGCAATTGTATGCATGTCTCATATTCCAATATATATGTATATATATATATATGTATATAAAAACATCTTTCTCACTTCTGCTTCTCCAAACGGCGTATCCTCATGCACCAGCTAGAATCAAAATGCCTGCAGCTTCCCTATTTGTCCCTGGCCCGGGCAGGGACCTGTCCCCTGGACGCTTCAGGGAATACGCTCTTAAGCTTGGCATTGGTCTCAATGGCTTCAAGGTGAGATGGGACCACAAACTCCTGGTTTTAAGGTGGTTTCATGCGGCATTTTTTTCTCGGAACCTCATGAAAAAGACAGACAAATGGCATCATGTCATATCATTTCCGTTTGGGATCATCATCCGGGTATGGATGTTCTGATTGGAGGCAGTACCTTACTTGAAAATCCTGGTCATGTGGGGAATATTGGGGGTCACCCTCTCACGTATGGATTGAAATGAAAACAACGAAACTAGCAGAAACTAGCAGCCAGTCCTGATCGTAGTTGCCAGGGTCCAAATCCTGGGAAACGAAGATCTTGGCCGGGTGCTAACATTGATACTGATGCTGTTGTTGGCGGTAAGTCTATAGACCGGACCAGGGTGGGCCTTTGATTAACACACCAAGTTCTAGTTGATCTGCGGATTCTCAATGTTTCTTCTGGAGAGTATGACCGTGACCCTTCGAAGATGTGGTACGCAGAGTGGGTCCCCGTTGATTTAGCCTTGAGTTGTCCCAATAATTTCTGCTTCACCCTTTCAATCAAGCCCGAACCTTCAAATTCTGCAAAAACCTGCAAATATATAACTTAGGGATAAATCTGTGCATGGCTTCATGTAGGCAATAGATAGCAGTTGTTGTTGGTCATTCACATTGGCACCATTGTTGTATATACTTCCCGGGGTTGTTAGCGTCAAAAGGTTGTTAAGCTGGCGACCCTGAGTTTGGGATGATACCGAAGAACTGGTGGAAATACATTGAAATACCCTGAAATACCCCTCATGTTGATTCATGTTGGGGATCTGGCTCCAAGTCTCTGGCAATGGTACACTGCTCCCTTCCGTGGCCTGTTGGCCTGGAGGGAAGGCGACATCGCCGACGTCCAGCATCAACTTGTTGGAGGTCCATCCTTTGGCTGACATAGCGCACCAGAAAGGAAAGCTGGGGATGTCAAGGTCTTGGGCTACGGTGGGGTTGAGACTGCCAGTCACCGAAAGATCAGATTCCAATTCCTGTTCATCGATTTCCGGTTCAATTAGAACCACCAAAGCTTGGGTGCACCAGCACTGCAGCCAAGGATCCACAACTCATCAGCATATGAACAAAGGCAATTTTGGAGTCACCATACTCCACTTTCAGCCAATAGTCCATCCGGTGGTCAGTGGGATGTTTGGCTACAGCCAGCACTTTGCCACTTCTCACATCTTCGTGATCACTCACGATCCCCCCGCAGGGTGGCAAACCTTGTAAAACGAAGTCCTCCGGATCAACGATCTGATAGACAACATCGTCCTGGGTTCAAGGATGGATCTTGATGGGTGATTCCGGAGCACCAGTGCGGAATTGGCAGGGTCGCCTCAAACGTGGGTTCTCCTGTTTTTAATGACCAGATCCATTTAATATTCATCAATCAGCATCATTTGCCACCAAGACTAGCGAGGTGAATTTTTCAAGCTATTCCTTGGGATTCCAGGCTTTCCCCATTCAGTGGCCAAGCATCCAACGGAACTTCCATCACGGAGCACGCAGCCACGTGACTGCGGCGAAATTTGAGCACTGCAGCGGCGAAATCCCGCGAAGCATGGAAGATCGACCCATTCGACCCATTCGACCCGAGCAATCACTTGGAATAAATCCTAGTGATATAGTGGTGACAGTGGTGAACTGAATAGACGAATTCCTGAATATTCAAAGAGTATTCAAAGTGAGATTGTGGATGGTCAATGATTGTTGACCACGCGTCTTCTGAAGACTTCTGAAGAATCGGCGCCCCGCAATTCTTGACACTTCCAAGAACCACCCCTGCCGCTGTCAGCAACCAAGATGCGCTTCACTCGACACCGGGCCTTCCAAAACAAGTGGCTCAAGCGCTGCAGAGTGAAGAATCCCGCCAGTCAAACAAAAGGCTGCAAAGCGTCAACGCTGTGACACATACCTACATTATCCATCATGATTATCCTACACTCATTTTGATATAGAATTGATATAAATCTTCAACATCTGGGCTCAAAACAGCTCAAAGTTGTCTTCACACCCAGTGCACAAGACTTTAAGCAACGGCTCTGCAGCATTCTGCAGCTGAGGGGCTATGATCCACCCAACTGGCAGGGCTTCCACCAATACTTTGTGGTGAAGCAAAGTCCCGCAGCATGCCTCGGCAGCCCATCAGATATGAGATACCCGATATGATACCCTGCTCGAACAATGGCTATGGATCAAAACAACCATGATTATCATAAGTTGGGCCTGGTGATGCTTACAAGAGCTGGCATTTTGATTTAGCCTGGCAAATGGATCCATGCGGAAAATAATGGGTTTTTGACCGCTCCATGCCATGCTACCTGTCCTCGAGAAGGCCACGCCCTTATTGAGCTGGCCTGGCTGTACCTGGAGATGGTGTTTTTTCAAGGTGAACTATGGGAAAATCATGGGGAAGGATGGACACTGTGGCTCAGGAGCTCCTGGAACATGTCCCAAATGTCTGAAAACTGCCACCATCACCCACCACCATCCCAATGAACTCCCATTTATTGGCCATTTTTTCAACCTAAAAATTAAATTTCCATGAATCGTCACGGGATAGTACCCATAGTTACCCTCAGGTAAACACTTTGCCATGGAAATCGGCATAGAAATTGCCAAATCACAGCCGTCACATCTCTACCCCGTCGAACCAAACCCGTTGCCTCGGCTTCGCTCTCTTCATCAAAATGCCGCTCCTCCCAGCTGGACTGAACACAAAGGTACCAGCCTCGGTTGAAAAGCCCTGGCACGGGCAAAACCCGACAAATATCTACATTGTATCTATCTAACTATAATATTATATACCGTGTATGTATGTATATATATATATATTTGCATATTCAACTACATCAAGGATATATGTATATATATATATACATCATACGTATGTGATTGTCTAAATGAATCCAGGCCGACCTACTGAAGCAGATCAGTCAGACCCTCAAGGAATCGTAGCATATCCAGCTCCGACTTCAGATCTGCCAAGGCACAAATAAACGGAATCATCATTGTCAAAGACAAGAAGTATCCCACCTGCATGGTGACCCCGAAATGTTCTTCCATTTGCTCGAACGCAGATAGAACTCCAAACCAGCAACTGTGTTAATTAGGGATCAAATGCAGTACAAAGGCTGAGGCTGAGGATGCAAGGAGATTTTGCTGCCCAGATACTTGAAGGCTGTCAGAATCCTTTCCGCCCAGGATGGCAGTTAAGATCGTAAACCTCACCGCGACGGCTGTAATCATTGCCATACCGTCCCATGACCATTTTACCTTTTTCACCATATCCTAACCCTAATCCTTGGTAACATCAATAGCTATGCTATGAGAAAACGCCCCATGTGCAATGACCAGTTGTGCAAAACCCTTGTGTTGTCTCAGCATCTGCTGTTCATGGAGAAGCTCATTGGAACCTCGACTAGTCATTTCAAATCACGCCCTTCAATTTGGGGTGACTCAACTCTGATCCTCTCCAAAATTTTTGCTAAGCAAAGGATGGCTCACAAAGCAGAACTGGTCGCACTCATCAGAAGGCCCAATGCTTGTGCACTTGAACGCAACCTGGCAAAGCAATGCCAAGCACGGCCTCACAAATCACATCTGGGTCACTGTGACATAGTGCGACCCTGCCTCAGCGGAGATTGCGAATATGCCAAGTAGTACAGCGTTGGATTCCTGGCCGGGCTACCGGCTCCATGGCCCAACATGGAGTTGTTTGGATGGTGCATGGTGAGTTGATTGAGAAGAACCAGGAAATATCAAAGACTATATTGGTTGAAGTCAATGCTGTGAATGCTGAATGAATGTGAATGCTGAAAGGTATACGATATACAAAGTATATTAATTTATATAAACTATACAATATCATATTATCTAATATTATACTATATTGATCTATATTGTATTACATTATATCAAACTATATTATCTTATATTATAGTAAACTGTATTATATTACATTAAATCATATTATATATTATATCATATGACATATGAAATTATATAATTTAATATCATAATAAACTATATTAATTAGGTCGTATTAATTATACTATACTATTTTACAGTAATTCAATCATAATGAGCTAGATTATATTATATTACATTAAATCGTATCATATCATGAATATATATATATATTTGTATTTATATGTATGTAATGATGAATGACGATGAACAACGTGGCTACATGCGTGCCCTGCGACCCTGTCCACATTATTTCACAGCAAAAGGTGAACAGTAAGCACCGATGAACATGGCTGATCCGGGATTTTGGCACTATCTTCTTGCCGCAGAAATCCATTCCAGGGTGCTTTGAACCAGTCTGAACCCCCAAGGCCAGCGCTGCCAAGGATCACATAGACTTCTGCCACGCCCATGACAGTATATGGGCCGACCATCCACCAGGCGGACAAACCTCGGTGGAAATTTGGATGCAACAAATTCATATGAGCCATGGTCAATACTCACTATATGGTTGATGGTCATCCCATCCATAATAAGGATCCTTATAATGGTTATTATAAATCCCTATGAACCATTGGATGACTAGCCCCTATTAATGGTTATTAACCATGAGTATTGACCATAGCTCATATGAGGTGTAACAGCAACTGGGATAGTGACGGATAGTGTCCATGGTGAGTAACTGATCATTGACAACTGGTGTATGACCCACCTTTTTCATCACCTCCACGTGACCTCTCAGAAACGTAGCATGGTACCGTTGTAGCAATAGCTTACTACATACCCAACCGGTGTTGCGGGAATGCCTAACCTTAGTCCGCGAACACTAGTCATTCAAAAACCTATCTGGCGAGCTTGATGTATACCAAACATCTTCTTGCAACCTCTTTGAGTCCATACATAGGACATGTGATCAATCTTCACTCAGGGAAACGGTACTCTTTGGTTTGCTTTGTGGGTTCCATGTCAAAAAAAACTCAATTGGGATCATTGTCATCCTAACTAGAGGGGAAAATGAAAAGTGGGTAAAACAACCAGCCAGCATATTAATTACCAAACCATTTAAGCATTGCTATAATAACCACGATAATCACGATAATCGCTACCAATCAATAATGACCACCATCAATCATGCCAAGCAAAGCTCTATAGTCTATTATGTTGGTAAGTCTCCAATATCACACATTTAAATCATTTAAAGGTGATTTGATCCTCCATCTGGGTACTGTCAAAATAAGGGCCGCACCTTTATGAAACCACAACATTGTTTTTTCCGGATATTAAACCGTGCGTTTTGAAAGGTTTGATCATTTTGACCCATCCCCACTTGGATTTGCTATGATTTGCCAATAGGGGGTGTCCACAGAAAACATCAAAACCCAGAGATTCCCCACGGTTCAAAACCCAGTCGTCGTCTGCTGTCGTCCAGAGCCAAGGCTCTGCTCATCTTCATGCCATCTGGCGCACACAGCGACACCTCGTCCAGCAACGGCGCACGTTGGCGCTGCTCCTGCCACTGCCGACATGCATCAGGGGTGTTTGCTATACGACGCTATATAATGCTATATGTACCTATACGCAGTGATATAATGTGTGTGTACACCTTGCTTACACCGCGCATGGTGGCTTAAATCTTTAATTGAAATTGATCTAAAAGAAAGGGCAGAGGGCATGGGCAGCTGTTTCCCTAGCCATGCCAACGAAGCTATGGGATTCAGCCGGAAGAGGGTGTAGACGCACACTCCTGTGCCTGCTAGCTGCGTTGGCCTGGGCACTTTAGTGCAGCTGGTAACCCTTATTGTTCTGTTCGTTCCGCTGTTGCATTGGGCCGGGCAGGATGTTGAAATCTGTTGGGTTATATTTAACCTTGTGTGGCCCTGAAGAGTCTTTGCCACCTATCGACTACACCTTTGGTGAATCCAACTTCAAAAAATCAAAACCAGTCCAGTGTGTGAAGTTTTTTTTTCCAAAAACATTAGATAATTATATTTGCATAAATATATATATATATATATGTGTGTGTGTGTCTACATACTATTATATATATACATAATATAAATCTATATAACACCAGTATGTAAAACATATTCAAGAATGATGCGGCCAAATCTGGCTGGTATAATACCTGGCTTCCGTGATCCTATATCTTTGCTATTCGGGACATCTTGGGATTGACATGGGACTGCACCGAGCTCTGGGACTACCTCCCACCCCAAGCTCCCCCCACCTCCAACTGGATAGCCCAAAGGACGGACACCGCCGCCAAAGCACAGCCCAGAAGCACCTTGCCATGACGTCGTAGACCAAACCTGGTGATGGCGATGGGGAAACTTACAAGGAAGCAATTTGGGATACAGATTTGGGGCATCCAACACTTGACAACCTTCGTAGTCTGTGTTCTTTCATTGTGCATTTAATAAACACGTGTACAAATATGTGTCTTCCAGGTGAGTCTTGTCCTTTCCTGCTTTGCAAAGATATTATCAAGGCCGCATTCTGAATTTTTCAATGCATTCCGAATTCTTAACAAAACATCATTAAAATCGCAGACATATCATTGCGTGGGATTTTGGTATGGAACAGGGCCCTCTGAAAGGACAGCGTTATTATTTGAGACAGAAAGGTCAAGCTAGGAGGTTCCGTTCTTATGTCCTAAAAGGAAGCAAGGAGACCAAGGTCAGACACTTTTCATCTGCCCCTAAAAGTCCCCCTGGATGCTGCATCCAAATGCTGCATTTGTTCCCAAAACAGTGCCTGCATGGAAGCCACTCCCAGTTTCATCCGCTATGTTCCCCCTGTTCCCACCTTCGCTCCAACCACGGATTCAAATGATTCATTAAAGGATGCGTAAAGACGACGATAGCCAAGCCATCGGCCACGTTGAAGAACCTCCAAGGCACGTTGTGCAAAGAAGCTTCTCCAACACATCAACATTTCCGATAATAGATTGTGATATATTAATATAGTATACAGTACAACAATAACCACCAAGAACCACATATAACTTAACCATACTTAAGCACCATCCAGAAATTTAGAAACGATCTGCATCAACCATCCATCTGCCGAAAGGGCGGCCGAGCCACGAGCCGTTGAGCTGCAGAGGGCCCAAGCGCACATCCATCAAACAGGCCTGCTCCTGGGGCCATCTCCAGGAATTGTATCGTGTTTTCATTGCTTATTAATGATATACCATTAGTCTATATGATATACCATAGAAATACTATATCCAGGAATGATATATCATTAATAATGATGATGTGTGTTGTCACGTTCTGCCAGCATTGATTCTGCAGATTCCTTTCTGTGGTGCTGCAAAGCCCCCATCTGCTCCCCGGCCCTGTCGGTGTCCTGAAACCAGAAGGCCATGCAGTTGTAGACACTGTTAAATGCCAAGTTCACCGCTGCCAAGGTGGGCATTATCCGTAGGAAATCTGCTGTCTGCTGTCGCGTGACGTGGGAATTTCGCTGAGCAGCGGATTGAACCCACCTGAGCAACTTGGATCAACTTGGCGAGTTTGGGGCATTGGATGGCATTGTTAGAACGAGTGTTAGAGACTCTTGTTGCGCAAAATGCGTCAAATATTAGAGACTACTTGCTTGCAGGCGGCAAGGGCAAGCAAAACACAGCTACTCTGTCTGTTCAAGTCTTTGCGCTGGTCAACGATGTGACACGCATACAGTAGCAACTTAGAGAAACACACACGCACACACCCATCATACACATGTATCTGTGCATGTGTTGTTGCATACAATGATATGCTATTTTCTTGTCGCATTCAAATAGACCACATTAGACCACCATGCACCAGCTCATTACCATTCACCATTTATCAGTCCAAGGTACGACAACTCCCCACAGCCATAGGTGGCCAACAGAAGTCCACCAAGCACGCTGAGGGCTCCAAAAAGGCCCAAGCCAGCCGAGGCAGGGATCAAGGAGATACAAACACTCAGCAACAAACCCAGCAGCAACAAGGGCCAACCTCAGGAGGTTGAAGGAACCGAGGTCGACACAAAGTAGTTGGAGTTTCACTACCAAAAAACTGGTATTGCATCAAACATGGTCTTGAAATCACTTGGGACTGTTTGATCTCACTGAAGGACATGTCATTGATATTGTGATCTCGTGAGTTTTTGTAGGACCTTGGAATTGACAGGTTTGGGGAAATCGCCTGCGGCATATTATATATAGTACATCATAGTATTGAGGGCTATCTTGCACGGTTCTTTTTCACCATATCCGAGTTTAGTCAAACCACAATTCACTTCGACGCCTCGGCTATGAAGAAACAAACTTTCACAACAGACTGCGGTCCTGGATGATTCTTGAAGTAGCCTAATTGCTGGGGCTCCAGCTAGTTCCAACAAATAAACAGCTGGATCATGCTGGATCACACTGCATCTACCAAGTCACCAATGCAAATGGCCGTGGCCCGCCATGAGCCCTCCACTGCTGCTGAAACTACATGCAGAACCTCAGGGCGTCCCAGTGGGTCGCCTTCTCAAAGATTCAGCAGTTCAGCAGAGCTAAAGGCGAGAAAGATACGACTCCGCTAAGCTACTTATGTCTAGATCACCATTTTGATCCAAAAAAACGAAAAAAAACGTAGATCCAAGCCATAAAGAACCTGGTGAACCGGGTCAACACTTGGCCCAGGCACCACTCCGCGAATGGCATTGCCCACATGTCGGTCCAGGCACCTGGCAGCCAGCGGTGCTGAATGAAGAAATGAGGGACACCAAGCCATCTTTCAAAGTATGCACCTATGAAATCCCATCACGGTATTCATATATCATTGTATAATTTTACTTCTATTCACATACCAATGTAATCCAATAGCGACCGATGGTCGCATTGCGTTTGAAATGATAATCGCAATATGTCACCATGAAATGTCTCCAGCATCTCAATCAGCAACTCAAACCATCAAGCAACAATTGGTTGCTTCATTCAATCATGACACGACCAACACAGCGTATCAAACAGTTGATTATGCTGCAAAGTCTGAGTGGGATTCGCGCACACACACATATCTATCTATCTATCTATCGATCGATCTATCTATCTATCTATCTACCTACCTATCCTATCTATCCTATCTATCCTATCTATCCTATCTATCCTATCTATCCTATCTATCTAATCTATCTAATCTATCTAATCTATCTAATCTATCTAATCTATCTAATCTATCTAATCTATCTAATCTATCTATCTATCTATCTACAGTATCCAACATGTTCCAACACTTCTGCCGTGGTGACCTTAGTCTCTTTTTATCACTTGTGTTCCTTTGCCCATGGCTACGATGTTCGAATAAAATGATCTGAGCCAGAGCTATGAGAGTTTGCATCTGCTCAACTCGCACGGCCCACGTCATGCTTAACCTCCCACTTCGAGATCTCAGCATGTACTCTGGAACATGGATAAGACTTGATAGACTTGATAGACATGATATGAACCAATATTCATGTAGTCACGTAGTCAGTGTCACACAGGTTCAGATTTTTGAAGAAGAGTGGGACACCTATTTTCTAGGTGTAAACATACGAATCTGCCCTGTGGTGCCATCTACAGCCCCGGGGTTTCCAATGCAGCCTGTAGCTACTGCTAAAGCACAGGAAAACGGTCAATGCCACAACCATGGCCTGGCACATAATGCTCAAACAATGGGCGAATACTCCGGATGTCATCGGATGTCATGATTCGTCAAACCTACAGGGTGGTATTCACATTTGGGTGCGCTATGGATAGTTGCGCGGAGTTGAACCATGCGAAAAACTATATACTATTTAAGATGATTTGGACATACCTTTGGAGCATACCCCAAGTCCCTCCAACACCCCAAATGAGAGGAATCCTTTCATAAACCAAGGGTATGGTCTATTCCGTGGGTCTGTTGGATTTTTTCTTAGACACTATACTTATGACTCTCACCTGAATTATTTGCCTGAAGATTCAAGGTTTCCGTGCCTTATCCTTAGCTGGAGGCTAAACCACGCAACCTATTGTGACCACAGAAGTTCAGAACTGCTGGGCACACAAAGGTTCATACAACGGATTCCAGTAATCCCCGCTACTTGTTGAAAACAAAAACCAATGCGGTTATCAGAAATGATTAAGAACATTACTAATACAATCTAATACAATGAAATATTATACCAGGTCATACCAACATCAACATTTCAACCCGTTTCAATCAATAGTTCGACTCCTTCAAACACTGGAGCACAGGCCCACTCCGCCAAGCAACCATAGCAGCCAGGAAGTAGGCAGTGGCATAGCCAAAGCTCGGGGGAATGAGTCCCGGCAGCCCACTGGAACACAAAGTCGTCAGAAAACCTGCGGTGACATGTGTGAAAGGGATCCAAAAGGATCCAAAGGGATCCAAAGGGGCCGTTGAGTGAGATGAGAAAATAATAGAACATCTGAAACATGCTGGGAAGTGCCAAGCCAGAATTTATCACTTCAAACTTGAAACATCTGCAAGGATGTTCAGTTGTCAAAATGGTTGCAAAACTGTTTCCCATCTTTCTTGGTGTGATGCTAGAAACTGCAGAACATCTGGAGAGCCAAACAGTCCAAGCAGCCGTACGAGACCAGCACACCCATATTGATCGACATGTAAAAATACCTCACCACTGGCTTGCTGCTGGCTTTTAAGTCAAACCATTGGTAGCTTTCCCCAAAGCAACAATTCCAAGATACTCCCTTGCTGGAAAGTATGCACCAAGCAGCTAAGCACCAATACGAAAGAATGCAAATCAAGCCAAAAGCAAAGTGCAAACTATTAGCATTATATGTATATTATATATATATATGTATATTATATATATATATGTATAATATATATATATATTATATTATATATATATTATAAAATTATATAAATTATATATAATATAATTATGCGTGTGCGTGTGATTCCTTAGATTCCGGTCTTAAAGCATTAGACCACAATGCCACCACCCAATACTCCGCCTGTAATCTTTCACCCCTGGCCATACTATGAATCGCTTCTGCGACTGCCTGAACAATCTGAATAATCCTGGAAGTCGCAAATGATCCAATGGAGCTGTTGATGCCAAGGTTCGTGTAAAATTCCTCTCGAGCTCTTCTCCCCTCAACACCTCCGAGGCAGACAGCTCGGGCAAATGAAACTTCTTCAGCATTCTCATATCGGCCATGATAAATGGAGTTCATAGACACGGAAATGAGATGGATTAGACAGGATTAGATTGGATTATATAGATTCTATAGATTCTAAAGATTGTGATGATATGAAAGCGTCGAGACCCTCAGGTGAAGGGCTGCCTTGGGCAGTGACTCAGTAGTGACAGTAGTGGTCAAAAATCACTCCTTTCCAACAGGATCCTGCAGGCGTACTGTATTGTATTGTCATATATCGTCATCCCATGTCCCACCATCCGGGCATCCCAATAGGCTATAATAGGCTCATAGCTCATGGCGCTGCAGTGATCATTTCATCAAGCCACTTCTGGAGTCGAACTGATCTGCTCCGAAGTTGGAGATATTCGGCTTGATGCCACCTGCTTGAACCAACAGGTCATGGATGGTCATGGAACCCATCAAATCGACCTAAGTGGTTTTTGACCCTTTGAAAACTTACCAAAATATGCTTCAAAATCGCTCAGAAAAGTGGATCGTCTATCCAGAAATTGGATCCCAGGGCCGCTGTTTTTTTGTTCAGTTCGCTGCTGGTCCCATGACAAGCTGCTCCCGGGTCCCATGATTTTTTTCGGGACGATTTCAGGGACCAAATCACAGGTATCACTGGGTAATGTGATCCAATAAGCACCCCTTCATGGCTTCATCAAACCGGGGAAAAATAAAGCTACAATTTTAAGCGCGATCGTATTCTGTGGAAATTTGAGCAAGCCATAGAACATGCTTGCAAGTTCTCCCGTGATTCAAACTCACCTTTCAGTTTTGTGAAACATAGTGAAACAGGGGGTCGAACCGGAAACCCAAACAAAGAGGGAAAACCAATCCGGCAACACCTGCATCAAACAAAACAAGCAAGCGCGCAGCTTTTGCGCACTTGAGCCATGGGGTCACCAGCATGTAAAGTTCAACCCACCCAGGTTGTTGTTAGGGAGGGTAACTACATCGGGTTCTACCTATGGCTACACAACATACCTAACGCATCTAGGCATGTGGTGCTACTCTACAATATTGGGAATAGCTACTTTGAATTAGTTGGACTCATAGCTATGGCAGTGCTCTACATATGACCTACTACCTATGCTATACATAGTGGGGCTCAGGGGTCGGTATATTTCAACTCCCCCCTCGCCTGTTCCACACATACTGCGCATTGGCAGTGAGCTAAGCAACTACTGTCGCGTGAGCGGGCGTCCACAGCGACCTATGCTTTGGCTTTCAGGTCTAATGGGAGGTCAGCACGGATTCCTAGAAGGATTAGTGCTGCTGCCCATTTATGTGGAGGCAATGCCTTGGTGAATATGTCTGCCGCCTGGTCATCGGTGTGGGTGTACTCTATCTCGGCAGAATCATCTCTGAAGACTTCAGACAGGCAAGACAAATTAACTTTGTGTGTTCTAGTTATATGGCGAAGCTTGGGACTATACCCTTTCTTCACAACTAGGATTGTTGCTTGATTATCTTCGTGGACCTTAAGGGTTACGGAGCGTGCAAGCAACAGCTCCCATAACTGTAAGGCAGGCAAGCCTTCTTGATAAAGCGAATGTGCTAAACTAACAACCTCGCTTTCCGTGGTCGATCTAGAAGTGGATGTTTGGCGCTTGCTAATCCATGCAAGTGGGAAGAAGGAACTAGGGCCAGTTAAAACCAAAAAGCCACCAGAGGTTGAGCGTGCAGTGGATCTGTCGCCGGCGAAGTCGGCATCGACAAACAGTCTGAGCTCTAGGTCTTCAGGCTTGTCCTGAATGGTACCTACTAACCTGTAGTGTGGGGTTGAGGCTATATACTGGATTAATCTTAGGACCTTCTTATCATCCCCCCTGGACCACGACTGGACCTTTGTGGCCAGATCATTGATAGGCTTGATGATGTCGGGACGTGCAAGTCTACCTAACCAAAGGGCTTTCATCAAAATCTTACATGCGTTTGGAGCTAGTTCCCCTTTAGTTTCATCATCTTCAATGGTGATGGATCCCTCAGGTGGAAATGGCGTGGCGGCATGCTTGAGTTTGGTGACACCGGTTATTGACTTATACAAATCTACGGTCTGCTGAGCGTAGTCTGCCATATCAAAAACCATGCCATCTTGGGCTTGGAAGGCTGCACATTTTTCATGACCTTCGGTCTTGGATAGTGGGGTAACAACATGGTTGCGTCCAAGAATCCTATAGATGGGCTCTGGGGGTTCAATGTCTACGACGGAAGTTAACTTACTCCAGAATGCATCATGCTGGTCGGCGGGGCCAGCAAGAGTTAAATCGTCTACATAAGTTGACAGAAGTAACTTTGTATCTGGGAAGTAAAAAGTTTCCTGGGTATTCTTGAACTTCCTGTCCACCAAGGTTCTTGATGATGACTTTCAGGTGTTGTTCCCACAGGCCTCCGGCATCAGGATGACCGTATAAGGCTTTAATTAAGAGGACTACGGGCTTAACAAACTGTTGTTTCCAATACTTAGGGCGGAGCTCCGGGGGAAGCTCAATCCAGGTTTTGTATTTGGAAGATAACAGTGCTTGGACGTAAGCTTTGACTGCATCTGCAGCCGTCGCGCGGTTACCCGGCAGCGACCCATACGCCAGGCAGGCGTTTAGCCCTTGGACGGAGGTGGGATTTGCGCCGAGTTCTTGGTAAACCGCGGCTGCACCATGTTCGTCCTTTGCGCAGTCTCCTCTGTACACAATGCGCCCCTTCATTTTGTGAAGGTGGTCTGCAAGCTCGTAGAATTTAATGGACGCGATGGTCATGAGCTGACCAAAGTGCACTGACACACCCGAAGCCTTAGCTTCTTTGCGTACATCTTCCTTCTCGCGGACCGAGCCAAGATCCCAAGTACCAGCCTTAACCAAACCATCGGCTTCGGCGCGGATTGCCTCTAGGGCCTTGGGATTGGACAGCATCTCTGCACGGGATAAGAGCTTAGTGACCATTGCTTTGATCTCAGGCGTTGGCGCCTTTGGGTCTTCCAGGTGGAAGGCTTGGGCGATCAATTGTTCATGGTCAAGAAGTTCTGTAACCAACCTATTAGCGGTGGGGTCTGATTCAACAGCTAGGGCTAAATCTTCAAAACCAGCTAATGGGGATACATGCTTAAGGTGCTGCTCAATTTCCCTATGGGGTTGAGGCTCGCTAGTTGCCGGTCGGCAAGGCATAGCAGGAACGGACTGCTGGGCACATTTTGAGGGATACAAAGCTTGCGCAATTAGATTAGTCATTTGGGGCGGATACATTGCGGAGCGAGTGGTCTCAGCTCCCTCACATCTGGAATGAGGTTGCTGGCATCGACACCGCATATCTTGAAACGCCTCTACAATTCGGGGAGAAGTGGTCTTGAGCTTCCATGGCTTTTTGATGGGATAACCATTTCTGTCGGTTAAACCTACGGTACACCCTTCAAAACCAACGGTCATAAACTGGGGATGCTTCTCAAAGAATGCTACAACGTCAGGCCTTTTCCAGCCAGAGCAAGGTCTTGGCCATTCAAACGTTACAGTACCACCATGATTGAGAACCCTTTCAGCGCGTTTGGAAAAACTCTTAAACAACCGTTTGGACTCTTTGACCTGGTGGGCAAGCTTCCTAATGAATGCGGCACCACCCCTCTTCCTATTGATGTACTGCCAAGGGGATCCGGATGTGCAAGGGATAGAGGCCCACATATGTGGAGGTGCAACCTTAGCGGCTTCATCTATCTGATAGTCTAGTTGCTCACATTGTGACTCATCTCCCAGGTCTATCCTATCCTTACAAAGTCTAACATGATTAATGCCATATTCTTGGTGAGTAAAACCCATCTGGGAGTCCTCAGAACAAGCAAATTCAAACATGGTTGACTTGGCATTGGGTCTGGAAGCTTTCTTGGCAGCTTTCCGGCTCCTACGATTATCGCGGTTAGTTGGCTTACCTACAGCGGGGCAACCAAAAACAGGCAGCGACTTTTGACATAGGTCGGAACATCGATTGGCAACTTGGGGAAGAATAGCTACACCAGAAACGGAAACAGCAGGCTCGGCTGGAGCACTGGGTTCGGATGACCCTGGTACCTCACCTCTTACGAAGATTTCCTCAACCAATGCTCTGTCCTCTGCGGAGAGGTGAGATGGTATCGGATCGGGATCAGGCAGATCCTCACCGTGGAAGATGATGCCATGTGCTTCATCATCCCTGTCTTCTGCTTCTGTCTCACTTGTGGGTGGTGGAGCTTTCTTTTCTTTTTCGGCTTCTTTTTCTTTTTCAACCAACATTGAGAAGCGGGCTCTGCACTCATCAGTGTGCACGCGCGAATGGCCAGTGCAGCCTTTGCAACCAGGGGTCTCTTTCCACTTAAGGATACGGTCTACGGTTATATAAACAGAACGACTTTTGAGACCTGGTGTAGAGGGTGAGGCTATTCCGCCCTCCTTGGGGAAGGGCACATCCTTTAAGGCATATTCAGGCAACTT